CCCAGGGATCTGCCTCTTAGGCCCCCTCCTGATCGGACGAGGCCCACCCCATCAGGAAGGGTGAGGTAGCTCCTCTCCTCACAGGCAGCCGATGCAGACACTGACCCGTCAAGAAAAGCCTCCACACAGCGCCTGCGTTAGGGTCTGGTGAGTCCCTGGGCACCAAGGGCTGGCCGTGGAGACACAGACAAGTAACCATCACGCTGACCGAAGAAGGGAAACTGAAAAATGCATTTGAAACTCAGTGAGGTGTAGGTGGGGCTTCCCAGGTGGTCTGTGCTTTAGGGTGATGGATAGGTCAGTGAGCCTACTGCTGAGAGCTCAGTAGGCAAAGAATCTACCTGCAATGTGGCAGACCTGGGTTCGATCCCTGGGTCGGGAAGATCCCTTGGAGAAGGAAATGATAACCCACTCCAGTGTTCTTGCCTGGAGAGTCCCAGGGACAGAGGGGTCTGTGGGGCTGCCGTCTGTGGTGTCGGATCGGACTGAGACACACGCGGCGGCAGGGAGGCGCAGACCGGAGTCCACGGAGGTGTAGCTGCTCGCAGGGACCAGGGGGCCACCCCGCGGCCGCGACGGACTGGCAGGGACGTCCACTCCAGGGAGGGGCTCCACCCCCACCAAGGCCTGTGGGGGAGGGCGGGGGGGTATGTGCCCAGGGCTGGCAGCTCTGCCGTTTTCAAAACCTAGACTTTTAAAAATGGAGAGTCTTGGGTCTTCTTAACTATGTATAGTATAAGGCAAATTAAAAATTACTTGTGAGTTAAACAGAAGCCTTCTGAGGGCAGAATGCAGCCTTTGGGCAGCTGTTAGAATTCTGAGGTGGACAAGGATTTAACCATCCAGACACAGCGGCAGCCTGGGGAGGCCTCTCCCGCACCTCTGGGTGGTCAGGTGGGTGCTGTGATGGTGCAGTGGACAGCCAGAAGGCTCGGTACGGGCCAGGAGGCCAGGGGCACGCCAGGTGGCCGGGTACGGGCCAGGAGGCCGGGGGCACGCCAGGTGACCTGGAGCACGCCAGGTGGCCAGGTACAGGCCAGGAGGCCGGGGGCACGCCAGGTGGCCGGGTACGGGCCAGGAGGCCAGGGGCACGCCAGGTGGCCGGGTACGGGCCAGGTGGCCGGGGGCACGCCAGGTGGCCGGGTATGGGCCAGGAGGCCGGGGGCACGCCAGGTGACCTGGAGCACGCCAGGTGGCCGGGTACAGGCCAGGAGGCCGGGGGCACGCCAGGTGGCCGGGTACAGGCCAGGAGGCCGGGGGCACGCCAGGTGGCCGGGTACGGGCCAGGTGGCCGGGGGCACGCCAGGAGGTCGTGCAGGGCTGTGCAGGGCCTCTGAGGTCGGGCCTGGTACCCTCTCCCCCTCCGTCTCCCACGCCCTGTGCAGCACACTCACATCTCTGTCCTCTGCTCTATGAGCCTCACGCGGGACGAGGAATGCCCTGGAGCATGGTCTCCACTCTGCTCTCTGCTACAGGCTGAAGAGGTTAAGTGAGTCACAGGACAAAGACTGGCGCGTTAAGCAACCTGTCCCGTTTGAATGCAAACGTGGAAACCATCTGTGCCCCTTGTTCAGGGGCTGGACTGACGGAGAGAAGCTCCCATCAAGTCCCGGATGGCCCAGCCTGGGGCGGGGCGTGCCCGGGGAGGCGGTGGGGCCGGTGAACTCGGGGTGGCAGCCTGGGAACCAGGCGGGGGAGGGTGTGAAAAGGGCCGGTGCTTCCCCACTCCCTGGTCTCCTGTTTTCTGACCGCAGTCGGCAGACAGCTGCTCTGCAGGGCTGCACTGAAGACCCCAGGCGTCCCGTGTGCACAGGTCAGGACGTGGTCCTGGGGGGCTGGCCGCCTTCCCAGCTGTCCTTCCAGTGAATAGTCATCAGCCTTTCCGGATGGAGACATGGGCCCCACCCGGTGATGGGTTCGAGTTTCCCCGACAGAAGGGCAGCAGGGCTGAGCCTCCAGCTGAGGCCGGAGCGCTCCCGGGGACCGCAGCCCGTCCCACCCTGACTCAGGCTCCCGGGGGTCCCATGCCCAAGGCTGGGCGTGGGGGGCTCTAGGCTCTGCATCCAGGAGGGGCTTCTCCAACCACCCTCAGGACACGTGTCTTCCGGCCAACGGTTCCAGTGAAAAGGAGGCTTAGGAGTGGAAGCTGTCTGAGGTCTCGGTGGAGTACAGAGCAGGGTGGCCGCAGAACGAACCTGCTGCGGGCCCGGTTCTCGCCTTCCTCTCCGTCTCTGATGTCATCAAGCACTTCCTGATTTTCAAAGAAACATTTCTCCACTTCACATTGCTTGGGATGGCTACTATAAAAACGAACAAGCGAACAAGCAAAACCAGAAAATGACAAGGTCTGGGAAGGAGGTGGAGCAATTGGAACCCTCGCACACTGCTGGCAGGAGTGTGAGATGGGGCAGGCAGTGTGGATATGGTGTGGGGAACCCTCAGACAACTAGAACTGGAGTCACAGGGTCCAGCGTTGCTCTGCCGGGACGGCCTCTACCCATTTAAAAAAGATCCCTGTTAAACGGTGAATAAAGTGAATTCTTAACTTTAGATCAGGTTGGTTTGTGCATGTGTTTACTCCGCAGATTTATTAAGCCTGTACTGTATGCCAAGCCTGGTCCAAGGAGCCTCCAGGGCGGGAAGTGCAGATGGGAGGTCCACGGAGGCCTCTGGGCCAGGGTGAGCCAGGCGGCGGGGAGGGGCTCCCAGGACAGAGTCTGGAGCGTCCCAGGCCCGAACCTGCACCTGCAGGACGTGTGACCCAGGCGGGCACAAAAGCTGCTGGAGTCTGGAAAGGGGAAGAAGGTGGCCGGGGTTTTCAAAGAGCAGCAGCGTGATCTGAGCAGAGAAAGAAGTACATCTCTCGTACGGAGATCTGGGTCAGAGCTGAGGCAGGGCTGAGATTTGCAAGGCGCGCAGCGAGGTTGGGGACCCGCCGCGTTGCAGGAAGTGAGTCATGGGAGAAGAGAAACCAAAACCTGCCGCTGGCAGCAGGATGGTCGCGGTTCCGACGGCCATCGGGTGCTGTCTGCTCACACTTTCATTCTGAGTCATTTCCTTACTCGGAGAAGATCATCTGGAGAAGACAACCTCCGTGCTCCGTGTCTTTAAAGAAGAGGCCCGTCCACGTGCAGAGCTGGCGTCCGACCGGAGAGGCAGGACCAGGCGGCCAAAACATCCTCAGAGATGCCTGGAGGATCCTGAACCTTCCACACACACAAAAGATTGTCCCGTTTCACAGGATCCTTAGAAAACACGCAGAAAGGAATTGCTGGAAGGAAAGAATAGCAATAAAGCTTTGATGTAGCAAAGCCAGCCGGCTCAGGAGGCCGTGCTGAGGGCGGATAGGTGAAACGCTGAGTCCCCAGAGAGACCACAGGCTTGTGGGGACGTACACAGAGACCGCTGATTGAGCGGATCGTGTGGAAGCGGCCAGGCAGCACCTGCTGTACGCTGTGTCGTGGGCCGGTTCCGTGCCCAGTTTCGTGGATTGTTTCAGCCACATGGTCGCCCCGTGTGGCCTGTTTCTCCTGACCCCATTTGACAGGAGAGGAAAGTTCAGAGCAGTTGGATGAACTGTCCCAGGTCACAAGGCAAGGAAGCGATGGAGAAGCATGCTGACACAGGGGCCCCGGGCATGGATGCTGACCCCAGGACTCTCAGCCTGGCTGCACGGCGTCAGAACTGACGCTGTTGCTCTGCCGCATCTGACTCTTTTTTTTTTTCCACGTCTGACTCTTTACAACCTTGTGGGCTATAGCCCACCAGGCTCCTCTGTCCATGGCATTCTCCAGAAAGAATATTGGAGTGGGTTGCCATTGCCTTCTCCAGGGGATCTTCCTGACCCAGGGTTCGAACCCAACTCTCTTACATCTTCTGCATTGGCAGGCAGATTCTTTACCCTGGAGCCACCTGGGAAACCCAACAGAATTCATGAGGGGACTTCAATCTCACCCATGCCTCCCAGACTAACTGAGTCAGAACCCCCGGGGTGAGCTGAGGCATCCAGGTTTCAAAAGTTCCCGGACTGATGCCCCAGCGAGTCCAGGAGATGGCCATCAGGACCCTGAGAGGCAGCAGATCTGCGACGAGACCTCCCCATTTGGTCCCCCGAGTGTGGGCAGAGCCGCTGGCCACAGCACTGTGGAGGGAGCCTGGCAACACGGCTTGTGGGAAGCAGTCAGTGCCCAGGGTGGGCCAGCAAGCCTGTCCAGACGGTCACGTGGGCTGGCTTTGCCCACCCCCACCCCAAGGTACCTGACGTCTGGACGGCTGTGTGTTTTCAGGGTGTGGATTTACCTGCATAGGGGCAGAGATGTCATCAGCACAAGGATGGTTAAGAAACATGTCCTGACTAGATCACTGGGTTATCAATAAGGCTTATGGGAAACTTATCATAATATGGGAAAGGCTTCTATTGAATGTTAGTTTCTTTAAGTTCAGTTCAGTCGCTCATTTGTGTCTGACTCTGCGACCCCAGGAACTGCAGCACTCCAGGCTCCCCTGTTTCTTTAAAGCAGCATTTGTCATTGTATATGCCGTAGAACAAAGGAAGAAAAATGGAGACAATTCTCCTCTTTGAGACAGAAGAAACACAGTTTAGAATGGCCACATCAGAAAATTTTATTCAGCCGCATCACACCTCATCTGGTCCTGTTTCCCTTTTAAGTCTTTTGAAATTCTGTTCACTCGGGAGGAACTGAACTCCGAGAAGAGAACACAGTGTTGCTGGGGGACCCACATTCCCCGGGACCCCCAGGCACACTGGAAGCCTAGTACTGGCGGCCTACCTCCTCCAGGGGCACAGTGGGAAGGTCATGCCCACATTTCAAGTCTGGTCCTGACAAGGAGCCTACATGGGAGGCACACAGATCCTGGAGGGGAGGTAGATTTGCCATTTCCTGTTGCCTAATTCCAGCAGTTTTAACCTTAAACACCTTCATAGAGCACCTTCTGGGAAAAACAGAAGTCTCTCCCTGGGGGCGGTACAGGTGAAGGTCATGCGAGGCCCCAGTGTGGGCTGCGTGGGACCCAGTGCTACAGGCAGATGCCGGGACCCGGTGCTCCAAGCGGACCCTGGGATCCAGTGCTACAGGCAGACCCTGGGACCCAGAGCTACAGGCAGATCCCGGGACCCGGTGCTCCAAGAAGACCCCGGGATCCAGAGCTACAGGCAGACCCTGGGACCCAGTGCTACAGGCAGATGCCGGGACCCGGTGCTCCAAGCAGACCCTGGGATCCAGAGCTACAGGCAGACCCTGGGACCCAGAGCTACAGGCAGATCCCGGGACCCAGTGCTCCAAGCAGACCCCGGGATCCAGAGCTACAGGCAGACCCTGGGACCCAGTGCTACAGGCAGATCCCAGGACCCGGTGCTCCAAGCAGACCCTGGGATCCAGAGCTACAGGCAGACCCTGGGACCTGGTGCTCCAAGCAGACCCCGGGATCCAGAGCTACAGGCAGACCCTGGGACCCAGTGCTACAGGCAGATGCCGGGACCCGGTGCTCCAAGCAGACCCTGGGATCCAGAGCTACAGGCAGACCCTGGGACCCAGAGCTACAGGCAGATCCCGGGACCCGGTGCTCCAAGCAGACCCCGGGATCCAGAGCTACAGGCAGACCCTGGGACCCAGTGCTACAGGCAGATGCCGGGACCCGGTGCTCCAAGCAGACCCTGGGATCCAGAGCTACAGGCAGACCCTGGGACCTGGTGCTCCAAGCAGACCCCGGGATCCAGAGCTACAGGCAGACCCTGGGACCCAGTGCTACAGGCAGATGACGGGACCCGGTGCTCCAAGCAGACCCTGGGATCCAGAGCTACAGGCAGACCCTGGGACCCAGAGCTACAGGCAGATCCCGGGACCCGGTGCTCCAAGCAGACCCCGGGATCCAGAGCTACAGGCAGACCCTGGGACCCAGTGCTACAGGCAGATGCCGGGACCCGGTGCTCCAAGCAGACCCTGGGATCCAGAGCTACAGGCAGACCCTGGGACCCAGAGCTACAGGCAGATCCCGGGACCTGGTGCTCCAAGCAGACCCCGGGATCCAGAGCTACAGGCAGACCCCAGGCCCCTTCTAAGCATCTTGGAGTCTCTCCGGGGCGGCACCCCCGCCTTGAACAGAGGGTGGGACATGAGGCAGATATCAAGGTGATGTTCTAAGTCCTCTGTCAGCAGCATGGGCTGCAGACTTGGGACATCATTTAAGAGGCAGAGGAGAAGAGGCAGCCACTGTTAGTGTCCAGGGGCCCTGCCCACCTTCTCTGGGTGGCCTTGCACCCGCCGGTCCCCAGCAGCCTTGCTCAGGACTTCCGCGTCGCGGGCATTGGGTGGAAAGCACGCTCTCACACCAAGTGCTCCTCCAGGAGGCTCAGAGCGCAGCGGTTGTTTTAGAGCTGGGGAAGCAGACGGAATTTCAGAAGCACACAGCCATTCAAACCTTCATGAGTTCTACAAGCACTTCTGAGAAGTTTAGTGAGAAAGCACGCCTAATAATAAAGGTAGGCACTGACCATGTCTTGGGTGTGACCTATAATTTATGCAAGTGGAGCTCAAGTTTATCAAACTGCGGTGAGCCAAGCAGTGCTGAGCACGGGACGCTTACAGCCGGCGGAACCTGGTTTCAGACCCGAAGCCCCACTTCCCCACGTCAGTTACCACAGTCTGCACAGTAGGTGCAAAAGAGCAGAGACCTCTTTGCATTTACAAACCAGCATAGGAAGTTAAAGTGATTTGCCAACACCGAACCGTCAGAACCACACCAGGCATGCCACCTTCCTCCTCCTCCCCCTCCATCACCGGACACCAGAGCATCTTTTCTCAGCGACGAGCATGGGGCCATGATTGAGCAGTTCAGCGTGCCCCGTGATTGTGTCAAGGAGGCTCCGCTGGCTCGGTTTTGAGTAGTGGCTCTGTGAGGCTCTGTCGCTGGAGGAAATCATGGTGAACAGCGTGGGCAGGACGCTTGCTGGCACGGTGTGAAGTGTGTAGCGCCGAATCCTGACTTCCCATCCTGCTTGCTCGGCCCCGGGAGAGTCGTCCTGGAGACAGGGAAGGGCGGGCGGTCCTCAGGAGTCTGAGTCTCTGAGGTCCCAGCCCGGGGCCTCTGCATGCAGCCTGCGGGCCCGCAGGGTGAGCGTGTAGAAGAGCTTGCGGTAGGAGTGCCGGAAGGCCGGGCTGGAGAAGCAGTAGACCACGGGATTCAGCACGCCCTGCAGGTAGGTGAGGCTGCCAGTCACGTCGGCCGCGTGCATCGCGGCGGTCAGCAGCCCGCAGCTGCACGCCCCCCGGGAGGCGGCCAGCAGGACGCGGGCCACGAAGCAGGGCAGAAAGCATAGCGCGAACAGCACGCCCACCGCGCCCACCAGCGCCCGCGCCCGCCGCAGCTTGGGCTGCTTGTCCGGCTCCCGCAGCCGCTTCCGCAGGGTCCTGAGGATGCCCGTGCTGCAGAACAGGATGAGGCCGAAGGGCAGGATGAACTGGACGAAGAAGAGGGCCTCCTGCCAGAGGTGGCGGAAGGAGGACTCTTCCCGGGGTTCGGAGCTGGGGCACTCCACCTCCGAGAGGAAGGCGCTCTGGTGGGTGAGCCCGGCCATGAGCAGCCAGACCAGGCCCGAGATGCCCCAGGCTGCCCGCAGTGACAGCGTGTTGACCCTGAGCCTGGAGTGGACCACCCGCAGGTAGCGGTCCAGGGTGACGGCGGTGAGGAAGGCCAGGCCTGCCCCGCGGCACAGGGCCCGCAGGAAGAGCAGCGCTTGGCAGGGCGCGCGCCCCAGGTACCAGCGCTTCTGCCCCAGGTAGAAGGCGGCGTGGAAGGGCAGGCAGGCGGCCAGCAGGAGGTCTGCCAGCACCAGGTTGAGCAGGTAGACGGCATAGGGCTTCCACACCTTCAGACGGAAGAAGAAGGTCCAGAGCGCCACGGCGTTGCCCAGCGTGCCCAGCCCGCACTCCAGCAGCAGCAGCGAGGCCGTGGCCACCTCCGCCGCCTGGCTGTGCGCCGAGCAGTTCGTCGGCAGCATGTCGCGCATCCCCGCCATCCGTCTGGAGCTGAGGCTTTGGGAGCGAAAGGCAGGGATGGAGCCCGAGGCTGTGCTCGTTCCCACAGGGAACACACTGACAGCATCCAGATGAAGTCAGAGACAAAGTAAAATTTGTTTGGGGAAAGAGGATCAGGAGCAGAGGGGAAAAAACCCTTGCAGTTTTGTTTTGCCCTGAAAAAGGGGAAATAGTGTTTCACTTCCTGTCATCCTGTGTTAAATCGAATGCTTTATCCTGAGGGTCTGTGTGTGGCCCCGGAGGGGCTTGGGAAGTTCAGGAAGACTTTATAAAGTTAAGATAATGAAGGGAACAGATTGTTCTCGAGTTTGCACTGTTTTCCAACAGTCAGACCCGGTGCTGCGATCCCTGAGAAGAGGACGTGGACGACCCGGTCATTTGACAGTTGCCCACTTTCACTTGTCCTTTCATTTCATCAGAGCTGGTCTTCTGTTGAGGAGAAGATCCTACCCTACCCTCCCACACTCCCCATGTGGGGACCCGCACCCCTGGGGGTCGGAAAGCCCCCCCTCGGTGGGCTTGGAAAGCAGAGTGAAACCGATGATGGGTCTGGACGCACAGGCTCCACCAGCATGTCTGGTCCACGAGCCCAGGGATGTGCTCTGTGTGCTGGTGATGAAATAGTGCCTGACGCATAAGCAGAGTCAAAAACCAAATACTGATGAACCCGTCATTCCGACCCATCCTGACCCTGATTCACTGGGTCTTGGCCCTGATTCTCCCTGTTTCTCTCCAGCCTGACTTTTTTTTTCTTTTTTGACTTCATGACATGCAGGATCTTGGTTCTCCGACCAGGGGTTGGACCTGTGCCCCCTGCAACGGCAGTTCTTTCCGCTGTACCTCTAGGGAAGCCCCTGTTCAGCCTGCTTTGCGCTTTGGAGTCAAATAGGGTTTAGTTCTACCTGGCTTCTCCACTCAGCAGCCCCGCGGGGTGCATATGAGGACGTCGGCATGCGGGGTCCCCCTGTCTGAGACACTCTTAGGCGCATGGCGCTGTGCACCATCATCTGGGACTTCACGGGTGCCAGACACGTGTGCTGCAGTCGTCATTAACCTCTATCCGATGCTTAGACTTTCAGCAAAACTCTTTTCTCTCCCAACGTCGTGGTACAATTCCACATCTGACTTCAGTTCCATGTGCTTCGACGCCTTCATTCCTGAGACCTAAGCTGGAAGCTTCAGGAGGTTTTTCATCAGTGATGATTACTAGCTGCCGTATGTTTACTGTGTTTCAGGCACCGTCCCGTGCTCACCTGTGTTACTGTAATGAACTGAGTGGCATGAGGTGCAGGAGGCACAGGTCTAAGCTCTGCGCCGTGGATGACAGCGTGGTGGCTCGGAGAAGGGAGGTCACTCGCTCCAGGTTGCAGGGCAGTGAGAAGCAGGAGCCAGGTCCTCCCAGCCCAGCCTGCCCCAGAGCCCGTGTCCCAGCCACTCTGCCCACGGCTTCCACACCTGAAGCGGCCTCACACCTGTGTGCGTGGAAAGTCCAGGTCTCAGCAAGCCCGCCACGGCCTTTGATTTGCATGACTTCTCAGGCAAATTGACTAGTGTTCCTTCTTGCTTTAATTTTATCAGGTTTTCCTTTTCAACTGGACCATCAGCCCACACATTCTTCCATCTCTGCATCATGCAGGTTCACCTGCCTCTTATTTCCTAAGAAGGTGCATTTGGAGAGTTGTCTAAGCTTTTGCAATTGCAGAAACATCCTGCCTGGTACCTCTTGTGACGCCTCCAGGGACACGAGAGGATGTGTTCGTTCCAGCTGAGGGTTGGCTGGAGACCACCATCTCATCTCCAGGGATGCTGTAGCTCATGGTGACGCCCAGGAAAGCTGGCACTTACTCAACTGCTCAGGGACAGAAGTCACACAAATGCAGGAAAGAAATGGATTAGATCATTTCAACGCATTGAAAACTTGGAGAGACCTTAAAAGCTCCTATCCCTTAACTGCAGATTCACAGTATACCAAAAACTTTCTAAATTACAAATATTCTAGCTCAATAAGTAACATAAACATGAATAATTATGTATTTTCCCTTTAAATATAAAAGGAGAATAATTATATATTTTTAATATATAATTATTTATATAATATATAATTACTTATATGTTTCCTTTTAAATATAAAAAAATCAAAGTTATAGAGTTAAAAAAAATTCTGCTTCTTTTTCTCAGCATACTGGTGTATTCTCCTTACTTCTGGAAGATGGTATTGTCCTTTAAGAAGTTTGTTGTGATCTGCACAGTCAAAGGCTTTGGTGTAGGCAATAAAGCAGAAATAGATGTTTTTGTGGAACTCTCTTGTTTTATCTATGATCCAACGGATGTTGGCAATTTGATCCCTGGTTCCTTTACCTTTTCTAAATCCAGCTTGAACGTCTGGAAGTTCATGATTTACATTCTGTTGAACCCTGGCTTGGAGAATGTTGAGTATTACTTTGCTAGCATGTGAGATGAGTGCAATTGTGCAGTAGTCTGAACATTCTTTGGCATTGACCTTCTTTGGGATTGAAATGAAAACTGACCTTTGCCAGTCCTGTGGCCACTGCTGAGTTTTCCAAATTTGCTGGCATATTGAATGCAGCACTTTCACAGCATCATCATTTAGGATTTGAAATAACTCAACTGGAATTCCATCACATCCACTAGTTTTGTTTGTAGTGATACTTCCTAAGGCCCTCTTGACTTCACATTCCAGGATGCCTGGTTCTTGGTGAGTGATCACACCATTGTGATTATCTGGGTCATGAAGATCTTTTTTGTATACTTCTTCTGTGTATTCTTGCCACCTCTTCTTAGTGTCTTGTGCTTCTGCTATGTCCATACCATTTCTGTCCTTTATTGAGCCCATCTTTACATGAAATGTTCCCTTGGTATCTCTAATTTTCTTGAAGAGATCGCTAGTCTTTCCCATTCTATCGTTTTCCTCTATTTCTTTGCACTAGTCGCTAAGGAAGGCTTTCTTACTTCTCCTTGCTATTCTTGGGAGCTCTGCATTCAGATGGGTATATCTTTCTTTTTCTCCTTTGCCTTTAGTAAAGTAACAGTCAAATATGCAGAATGTGATAAATTTGCTTTTCAGGACTCTGTGCTTTCTTAGAGACATTTCTTTCTGTCCCAGCGTGTGAAATCCCAGACACCCTCTGGGGTGCCCCTGCCAGTGAGCAGATTTGGTCCATGGGGGACAGGCTCCCAGAGGGCGGCTTTGGCGAGGGTCCCTTCAGGACCCAAGTTTTGGCAGGGACCCCATGCTGCTGTTGAAATTTCCATGCTGTGAGTGAAATGAAGGTCCCTGGAAGCCGTGCCACATGGAGGAAAGGCAGGGAGAAGGTGCGTCGCCTCTGCGGGCCTGCACTTGCTGGAGGTGCCCTCACACCTGGGGAAACACCAGAAGGGGCTTCCCCGAGGGGTCGGGAGTGAGCAACTTTCTCCTTCCAGAGTGGGGATCCACATGGGAGCTCGGAATCTGGACGACGTGTGAGCAGGGCTGCAGCTACTGACGCTTTGTAGGGTGGCAAGCCTTCTCCTGCCTTAACCGCGTTTGGGCCGCCGCGTAATCTTCAGTTCGGTCCGTCAGTCGTGTCCGAGAGTTTGCGACCCCACGGACTGCAGCACCCTGTTTGTGCAGCATACGTGAACCCAGAGATGGCCACACCAAGTGAAGTGAGTCAGACAGGACAAGTACCACACGCTGTCTGTTCCCTGCGCGTGGAACCTAAAGTGCGGCTCAGATGAACCAGGCAGAGAACAGGCCTGCGGCTGCTAAGGAGCTGAGGAGGCTGGGAGGACGGCCTGGGAGTTCGGGGTCAGCAGATGCAAACTACTACATGCAAGATGGATGAACAACCAGGTTCTTCAGTAAAGCAAGGGGACTGTTTCCAACAGTCTATAATAAACCATAATGGGAAAGAGTATGAAAAAGAACGCATATCTGTATAACTGGGTCACTTTCTGTGCGGCGGATTTTAGCACAGCATTGTAAATCAACTATATTTCAATAAAATCATTTTTTTAAAAAGCCCTCATGTGATGATGAGCTGCTAGATATGGACAGTGTATGCACACGTGTGTGTCTGTGTGTGCATCACAGATCTCTACACTGATCTGAGAGGAGCTCAGCTAGCTTTCGGGGGAAGACGACTGCTATATCAGATCTTTTCAAATTTGCTTCGAAGTCAACTTGGATAACTGTTGTTAGGACGCCGTGGCCCCTGGCTTCTGCTCCTCCCCACGCCTGGACCAGGGGGGGGTGATGCTGTGCTCCTGAGTTTGCGCCCCTCTCCTCGCCCTCCTGGCAGAGTCTGGGGGGGCGGGGGGTGGGGAAGGGGTCAGTGCAGCCACCTCATCCCCACCACCCCCGCCTTCTGCTGTCACAAACAGCCCCTGACATTCCCGCCATCACTCTGATAACATATAACTCAAAGGATTAGGAGAAATCGACGCTCATTTCCCTAGACACAGGTTTGCTTTTTGACAGAGGAGTCTCAGATTTCATCCCATCGCCAGTCTCATCATCTCATGATGAGATCCCATAATGAGATCTCGTCTCATCACCTCAGCGCGTAACAAACAAGAAACACAGGGAAGCGCAGGGAAAAGGGAAGGCACTGTTGCATAACCGCCCGTCACACGCGGGCCTTTACACAGAGACAAGGTCACGCAGTCCCTGCTGCGCGCAGCCTGGCTTCCCGCCGGGCCCTTCTCGCGGACCAGCAGACGTGACTCTGCGCGTGGGGAGGGCTGCTTGCTGGGTGGTGTGACTGCCCCCACTGTGCGCCCTCTGGTCAGCGCTGTCTGCATTCTCTCGCCTCCTCTCTGCTCTTCTTCTCCCAGGCCTGAAAATGGCCAATGCAGTTTCTGTGCTTACGAGATGGATTGGAAGGTGGTGTGGGCTTTAAATTCTCGTTCTCGTGAGCTCAATCTTGTCACTGATCACACATGTTCTCACCTTTCCCCACGT